ACAGCAGTTTGCCTATAGCAGACAAGCTGCAAATGGAAAAAGGTACTTCTGCAAAGAAAGGAAAATACTAAAACCGTTTTGGAACATGTCATACAAAGTAAGGCTGGGACCTATGCTGAGCGCCCTGGCTTCTGCTGAACTGGAGGGATAAGAAAGCACAGAACAGGAACTATATTTTTGGTACAATAAATATGCAAATATATACAAGTCTATCTCAGCAAGTTTTGTTCCTGTCCCTCTGCTGAATTTATTTAAGAATAGTCACTGCTTTTTTCTTGTCAGGGAACATGAAAAGCTGAGGTTAAAAAAAAAAAACAACAAACACGTCACATTTCATTGTTTGTTTGTTAATAAAACATGTGGTGAATTTATGTCAGTGTTGCCCCCCCTTCAGTGAAGTGCTTGACAGAGATCCACGAGGCTTGTGATCCAACACCCACAATGTGCCCTCCTGCCTTCTCTACTCACCTCCTCTTGGTTTTTACCCATGCCTTTTTGACCATGGCTTAGGAAAGGATGTAAATAAGAAAATTCATAAACACTTAATAGCACAAGTATCTAAAAATCGTATTTATTACACACAACACACACAATATGTTTGGGAATATTAACTAAATGAATTATGTTGTTGTTTTGTTGTGAAAGAAAAGCCTTCTTTTGTCACTAAATATTATATACCTTGATATACCTATGATACATATATTTTTATCTAAATTGTGTAGCTTAGCTGTCTCTACAGATGTCCTGTAATATTACAGTAGTAGCAGCAGTAATGGCAGTAATAATCAACAACCAACAATCCTGCTGGACAACTAAGCTGCTTCTGAGTAGACACCTACCTCCAAACCTTCCCAACCAGCTATCTACTTTCCCATCACACCTCCAAAAGCCAGAACTCCAGCAAGCTATTGACAAATTTGTTCTTCAAGTCACTTATCATATTCAGTCAGTCATAAGTGTTGAAGCAGATTATGTAAAAAATAAAAAATTATGATTGCTTTTCCTCCTCACTTCTTTCTGTCTTGCATAAATTGAGTAAGAACGAGAGAAAAGCCATCCTCGGTGAAGTCACCACCAATCCCCCCGTGGCTCCATCACTCCAGAGCTCAGGAGCAAGTGGCGCTGCCCCAGCCAGCCAAGGATTTCTCAGTGATTTCAGCACAAGACTCATAACCTCCGTGTCTCATTTCCACTGATGGAACTGATAATAATTGCCAACCCCTCTCGGGGAGTTCACGACAATACATTTATCCTCCTTTGTAAGGAGTTCTCACATCAGATGGAAAGCAGTACAGATGCACGAAGCACGACTATTTATTTTTAATAAGACACAGCCCAAACAAGCAATGGCAGCTTCGTTAATATGCATTTCATCACTGCGAGTGATATTTTTCCTTCAGAGGAAACAAATTGTATATACTGATCTGCTCATATGGAAACGTTAAGTCAGAGAGATTAATTTTCTGCCTTCAGTTGCCACTTTATAAACCGAAAATTACTAAAACAGAAAACACAGCCAAAAAGCCAAATTGTGCACTTTTATGGTTCACCAAAAAAACCCCCCAGCGAACAGGAGACAAGGTATATTTTATATGCAACAGCTCATTAATTTTAAGTGTCGTGGGAACCCTGCCAGTTTTACCCTCTGAGTAATTATCTTTTGTCTTAATTTGTAAGATTCTTGAAAGGGGGAACAGAGAAATGGGAGAGAAAAAATGTTCAGTCTCACAGGAAAAGCTTAAAAAGCTTAAAGCCTGAAAACACAATAAAAAGGGAGAGACTTAGACACAAAACAGTCCTAGTCAAGCTGTCTCTAGTTAAACAGTAGATGGTATCAGTTTCTATAAAAATCAGTGTTTGTTTTTTCCAACACCTAGAATATTGTTATACCCAGCTAGACAGGTATAAAAGCCTTTCTGCAAAATTCACAAACATATTAGTATCTAAACGTTAACTTCATTAATTACAAAACACTACCACTAGCTAAGCATTTAAGTGGGAATAGAGAGTCTCCTGGACTATGATTTTGCTCCCATCTGAGTAAAAATAAGTTATTTAGACAATAAATAAGTTATTTAGTGCAATACAGGATTAAACTCTGACCCTAACAGCTAGTTAGACAGTTCAGTGAAAAGATTAAATAACTAGGAAAGACCAGGAAGCCCTCCCGAGAAATCTCATTGTTGAAGAGTAACTGATAATAAGACAGAAACTTTCACTTCTTAAAGGAAAGAAAATAAACCCCCCAAAACTCTGCATTAAATATCATTAAATACTACTGAGACCAAATCTGATTTAACAATAAAATTATTAACTAATTCTTTTGTGTATTCTTACGAAGCAAACTGCATTCTCCTCCATGTCTGCCAGCTCTTCAGTATTTCTGAGGCATTCAGAAGCTCAGAAAAGCTGTGCCTTATGCTTTACTAAGCCCAGATACAGGCACGTCCCAGCTACAGTCTCCCATCCTCGAGATAACTCTGACATGCACAATATACAAGGTCCTGCTCCCAGTTATTTTTCTTTTTTCCTTGCAAAAGAGTAGTCAATAAAGGTTTCAATAATTTCATTAAAAACCAGAAAGAGAGGAAAAAAAGCCCAACCCACAGGAGTGGTGGAGCTCACATTATTAAAGCAGAAATCTTTTGTAGTCTTGAATTATGATTATTTTATGCTACCTTACCCAGCTCTATACTTCCAGAAGAGCTTTTAGCTAAAGGTAAGAGCACTACTAACAAATAATTAAAAGTGCAAGTAAATTATTAGTGTTCAGACACTTCAAATAGAATAAATGGATATCTTTTTATCCAGATCTATCTGAATGCTCGTTCTCAAAATGCCGTGTCCTCCAAAGTAATTATTATTATTATTAAGCTGAAACAATAAGAGTCCCAGAGTGAAATACTTGTGGGTCTTTTGGTTAGCACTGATGATCAAATGCAAAGAAACTGAACCACAACATTCAAAACTCGCAAGCACTGGGGGTTTTTAAACCACTGATATAATTTATGGCAGCAGAACAAAACCTTATGGCAGGAGTGATCCCCACAGATGCATCACAGTGCTCTCTGCATCGGGGGAACCAGACCCCAGACACCAATATTCACCCAGGATCCCACACAGGGACTTTGGGGTATCTCATTTGAAACTGTGATGAAGAATCCCTACGCAAACTGATGCAAACTGTGCAAACTCTGAGTGTACTAGGTGCAGCAGTAATAATGGCTACAAAAATTTTTGATCAAGTAAAGACACAGATGTACTCGGTCACTACAGATTAACTAAGCATTTACTACAGGAATTGACACTGTAGTGAGCGATAAACATTTATTGTGTTTTCAGCAATTTTCTGAAGTATTCCTATAAAGTATTTGCATGCAAATTAATTTGTAGGATACATCCAGCCAGCCATTCAGGAGCCAAGTCATAATACGTACAATAATCAGGCTTTCACTGTGTAAGCAGCAGAATTACTGGACTGGGTTCAGCCAACTACTGACTCCATGGGCAAAGCTTTCTCTCCCAAGCCCTCCTGGAGTTTATTCCTGCACCAGATACGCTTTATACTTGAGATAACAGGGGAGTCTGTTGCAGGAACAGCAGAGTACTGACGTATGAACCCTTTTGCTTCATGCCAGTGTCTGGAAGAGGAAGGCATGGACCATATGTGTACATGTGTGCCACATATTGCAGAGCTCGTGCTGTGTAAAGCAAGTGATTGTGCATTCATCAAACTCTCCAAAACAAAGAGGGAAGATAATAGTGAAAGGGAGAAGTTTTGTTTTTAGAAGGAGAAAAGGGAGCTTTGCCAATGTTGTGAACCTGAGCCAGCTATTCCAATGCAAACCTCATGTTGTTACATAGATCATGTTTGGGAAGAGATGTAATATATTAATCAACTTTCTGGCATTAAGTATCCATTACTGTACAAAAACATTCTTGCTCTGGCTTTAATTCAGTTTTAAGTCACTGTGAAAACATTTATGTGGCTCTCAAACTGCCTTAAAGGACCCAGGCAATAATTCTTTTCCTCTCCCAGAGGAACTAAAACAATTATCTACTTCCATTAAACAGAATATTTTAATACTGCTGATTGTTTTCCTTAAGTATTGGGTATGTTCAGACTTCTATAAACCATTTTCAGAGATAGAAGTTGTCTTCTGGAGCCCCCCTACATGATCTACCTATTCAGAGTCAGTGGCAAAGGCAAACTTCAGGAGAAAAGAATCATAGAAACATAGAATAGATTGGGTTGGAAAAGACCTCTAAGATCATCAAGTCCAACCCCTGATCCAACTCCAATTACTATATCATGGCACTAAGGGCCACGTCCAATCTCTTTTTAAAAACCTCCAAGGATGGTGAATCCACCACCTCTCTGGGTAGGGCGTTCCAGTGCCTGATTACCCTTTCTGTAAAGAATTTCTTCCTAACATCTAACCTAAACCTCCCCTGGCAGAGCTTGAGCCCATGTCCCCTTGCCCTATTGTTGGCTGCCTGGGAGAAGAGACCAACCCCCACCTGGCTA